TTATTTTCGCTTTTCCTATGTTATTATCAGTCTTTTGTGCAATATAGCACTTGAATTTTCATCTGTCCATGAAATTGCATGATTCTTCATTACATGTTTACTTAGAAAATCCTAAATTTGGTCAAATTTTATCATTCTGTGTGCTTAGTTGGAGGCCTTTTTCTGGATTTTGCACAAGTACCTATTCTAGTTTGATTTAGTTTTGTGAGAAGGAAGATGTTGGATTGTGTATTCTTCTTCCATTTATGTCATCAGAAATGTTGCGAAGAAGGATGTAATCAATGCATGCATGCTGTCCATTTGCAGCCATTTGTATATGCTGTGCTGTGCAATTTATAGCCATTCAACAATTTAACATTAGTTTTACAAGCCAACCCAATTGGGTTTTCTTTCGAAACTTATAATTAAGGATCTAAGTTTGGAATGATTTTATATTTGCCTTCTCTCTCTCTCTCTCTCATGTGCACGAACACAAAACATACCTTCTGGCACACACACACACACACACTGACTTTACTCTGTCTTTACTAAAAAAGTTACATATTGCTGCTTGCTTAGTAACCAAATTTTGACAAAGACCAGGTGCTTTTATTTTCTTTTATTCTGTTGGGTGAATCCTTAACATTGAAGTTCTATAATCTTTGCAGGCAGCTACCCTCAAGGAAAAGTTTAATATTGATTTGCGTGTTATGGGAATAACTGGATCAAGGACAATGCTTTTGAGTGAGGCGTAAGTTAAAAATTTTAATGAAATATTATTAAATGAAATGTTTTAGTATAATCTAAATTACACCTTGGAATGGGGGTGGTCTAACTTATACATGTATGCTAATGAAATATTTTTGAATTGATAATTGACCAACGTGCTTCTTCTAAGTAGTGGAAATTGCCTCTGTTGACATTCCTATTACAATCAATGCTGAAGCTTAATAGTTGGCTCTCCTTATTCTTTTTGGATTTCATATGTGAATACCATCACCGACCTTTTCCCTTCTAATTGTTTAAAGACTTTATTCCATAAATAATGGTCATTCAGTAGTTTCATTTCCATGACCACGAATTTACCTTTTTCTTATTTATTGTTGTAGGGGTATTGACTTATCTAGATGGAGAGAACTCCAAAAAGAGAGAGGAGTAGTGGCGGATATGGACAAATTTGTGCAGCATGTACATGGTAATCAGTTTATTCCGAATAAAGTTTGGTTGACTGCACAGCTGACTCTAGTATTGCAAGCCATTACTATGACTGGTTGCGGAAAGGAATTCATGTAGTCACCCCCAACAAAAAGCGAATTCAGGACCTCTTGATCAGGTAATATCTCTTTAACATGTGGACTTCTTTCGGGTTTTTATCTTGATGTTATCAAATTGCAAATTCTGTGTTTCAGTAGTTCATATTAACAAAAGAACAAGAACATCCCCCATTTCCTTAATTAATTCATCTACCCAATTAAGTGGGAATGTGCAATTCTCATCATAGTTGCGTATCCAAAACCCCCGAATTTGGGATGTCTTGCTTTTAAACAATTTACAGGGTTATCAAGCTATGATCGTGTCTATTGTTGGTTCACACCATTTTGTTTATGTTCAAGCTACATCGTATCTTCTAATTCTTTATCAGTTTTGTTCTTTTTCCTTTTTCTTTTTTGTGATTCCTGGTCAAGAGTGCTTTCTTTTTAAGATTTGGATGAGGAGTTTTGATTCCTAACACATGGTTTTATGGTACTTTATTGTCTGAACATAGTGGTAACAAAAGCAGCCATTTATTACGCATAAATTTTTCATAAATTTCTATGCAACAAGTGATGTAATGCTAATGTGAATTTGACTCTTTTCTTTATTCTGAAAGATCACAAAGTTTGCCTTACTTGAATTTGATTTGAAAGATCTCAAAGTTTGTCTTGTTGAATACAGTGTTCATTAGAAATTGGGGGTGGGAGTTGTACTCAACTTGGTTGTTATATTTGTTTCCCTCAGGATTTTATTGTGAGTTGACACTTGCACTTTCATATCCATATCTTACTATTAGGTAACTAGTTTGTTTGATTTGCTTCAGTGCCCCTGCAGCATTACCATAAACTGACTTGCAGGAAGAAAGAAACTATAATTTATGTTTAACTTTCATGTAACATAAGTTAGTTACTCTCAAGTAAAAATTTGATGCTATCTGAGAAGGCAATAATGTTGTTCATATCGTACATATGTTTTTGACTTTTGGGGTTTCATCAGTCATGAAATTATTTTTGTCCGTGTACAGTATTTGAAGATAAGGGCTCTTCAACGGCAATCATATACACACTACTTCTATGAAGCTACTGTTGGAGCTGGTCTGCCAATTATCAATACATTACAAGGTCTCCTCGAAACCGGGGACAAAATATTGCGTATTGAAGGCGTCTTCAGGTAGGCAGACTACTTTTGATTTGTCTTCTCTCAGTATATGCTGAAAATAATACAAGTATAATTCCTCTTTTTAAGCATGTAAATTCATGATGTTTACAAATGCACACTTATATTACGTTTAACACAAGTCTTCCCTCTGATTTGCTGTTGCAGTGGAACTTTGAGTTATATCTTTAACAACTTTATAGGAAGACGGACTTTTAGTGAGGTGGTGGCTGAAGCAAAGCATGCAGGTTATACTGAGCCGGATCCCAGGGATGATCTATCTGGAACAGATGTTTGTAGAAAGGTACAATGTGCAAAAATTGTGTCCACTATATTATGGAGGCTTCTAATGTGATGATGTTTTATCTGTTTAACCAGTTTAAGTTTTTCAAATTTTGATATGAGACCCTAAAGCTTGTATTATTGACAAAGATTGACCATCTTTTTGCTGCTTTTGGGCCCACGCCCATACTGCAACCTGAGCTATCATTATTTTTGCTTCATTGTTTTGTGGTAAGATTTGCCTCCTAAGGAACCCCATCAAATGCAGGTGATAATTCTTGCTAGAGAATCTGGTCTTAAGCTGGAACTCTCTGACATCCCTGTTGAAAGCCTTGTGCCAGAACCATTGAAGGTAAAATTATATTTTACTATACCTTGCCAAATGCAAAAGTTCACCTTTGATGTGGAGTTTTGGATTATCCGTTTTCAGAATAGTGCATCAGCAGAGGATTTCATGGAAAAACTTCCACAGTTTGATCATGACTGGGCTAAGAAAAGACAGATAGCTGAGGATGCAGGAGAAGTAAGTATCTCTGGGATGCATTTCTTCTCTTGGTTCCTGTGTAATACCACAATTTTAACCTAGCCATATTTGATTACTACATTATCAGGCTGTTGGTCAGAAGCCTGCTAGGCACCCACAGGCTATTAAATGCCTCCATTTCTTTTCTTTACTTTTCTGGAAGTATCAGCTATCTAGAATAGGCAATTTAAGGAGAAAAAGAACTCAGAATTGTTAATTTATATAACTATTAGAACAGTATCATTTTAGCTTCCTTTGAACCCAGCATTGTTTCGTACATTATGCTATGATGGGTTTTCCGTTGCATTTATCCAACTTTTGGTGATAAAAAATGGACTCTGGATTTCTTTTTTAATAGGCCATAATAGTTTGGAAAATGTGAATATTTTTATATTCAGAGTTCTTTGGGCAGGGATATGCAGCTCAAGTTTCACAGGAGTCTTTTTCCCTTCTTTTTCTTTTAAGTTTTGCTCAAATAATTTTTCTTTTTCCCTCATCATGACTTTGTGATATCTGAAGGTCTTGAGATATGTTGGGGTGGTCGACATGGTCAATCAGAAAGGGATAGTGAAGCTGCAAACATACAAGAACGATCATCCTTTTGCTCAACTATCTGGGGCAGATAACATCATTGCTTTCACAACAACAAGGTACAAAGATCAGCCCTTAATAATTCGTGGACCTGGTGCTGGTGCCGAAGTCACAGCTGGTGGAGTCTTCAGTGACATATTGCGGCTTGCCTCATATCTTGGTGCCCCGTCATAGTGGAAAGCCTGTCGCTAGAAGTTGATAGCTTCTTATGGTTCCTGTAGGCATTAATTTATGCGTTTCTATCTGGGGGCACTCACCAAGTGTACTTATAAACATCATGTATGTCAGCTTTTATTTAGTGGATGCAATAAATTTTTTGTAATCTGTAGGCTAATTTGTGAACTGTTTTTCTGCATGAGAGAATATAACATTCTCCAGAAATTATTATTTGAATTAGTGATTTGCGTCGTGGCTCCTGGTCCTGTGAAGCGTAGGTACCAGCTGGAGATTTTTGGTAGATAAAGCTCAGTTTGGATGGAGGGATTTGAATCTAACAATAAAGCTAAATTTGCTACAAAAATAAGAACTTCACTAGATTGAATGTATTTGAAATAACTACGTGTAGTACATTTGAAATAAAGTTGAGATGCTTATATGAATGGAATCATTTGACATCTATTTGTTTTCTTCTATTTTTTCTTGTCCAATTCTTGGTATGCATGGATCGTAATATTTTATACAAATGAAGATAAAAAGAAAGAAAAGAAGGAAAATGTCCTTTACATTGAAGTGCAAGTGTAACAGAATGCTCCCTTCCTTTGTAAGATTTAATTATCTGAAGGCTGAACCCGCCCGGCTTTCATCCTTATTCATCCAAGCAATAGCAACTGCAAGCTTTAAGGCCCAATTGGGAATCTGCATAGATTCTGTCGTTTTTTATCTACAAGTTTTGGTCTGCAGTAACGCATGACGCTTGATCCCTTTGAACTTTTGAATGTCCATTTACACTTGGAAAGATAGAAACCGAGATATGCACCAACTCTACAAAACGGAAAAGGAAAGAGAGGCAAGCATCCATAAGGAATTGCTTGATTTACACGCAGTTTAAATCCCACAAAATAAGCATAAGTTATTGCTTGATTTACAAGGCTATACAAAAGGAAATAAATCTGGCTATTCAATTATGGTTGATACACAATATAAATCCCACAAAATAAGCATTAAATCTTCAACATTTGTGTGACGTGGTCCAGAGGTTTTATCAGGGTTTTAGGGAATGGAAGCTGACGCTGAGTTGAGCAATAAGCTTCCTCATCATGATGATGATCTGAGGTATGAAGGTGGGCAAGAAGACTATGCGCCGGTGAGGAGCTTCGATGCATTGCGGTGTATGTTTTGGATCAAGACAGTGCAGCTGTGGAAAATAGCAGGTCCGACAGTGATCACTATGTTGTGTATGTATGGGACTAGCTCGGCTGTGGTTCTCTTTGTTGGTCATATAGGAGCTGTAGAGCTCTCAGCCGTCTCCATTGCTCTCGCCAACATTTCCACATTCTCTGATGGATTCCTGCTTGGAATGGGGAGTGCTCTTGAGACCCTGTGTGAGCAGGCATTTGGAGCTGGGAAAATTCATATGCTTGGGATTTACATGCAGCGCTCATGGATAATCCTATTTGTAACCACCCTCTTCCTCTTGCCAATTTGTATCTTTGCCACACCTGTTTTAAAGTTGCCAGGCCAAGAAGATGGCATAGCCAATCTAGCTGGAGAATTTACAATCCAAACCATTCCTTCATTGTTCTCACTTGCCATTAATTTTCCAGCTCAGAAGTTCCTTCAAGCTCAGAGAAAGGTTAAGGTTCTGGCATGGATTGCAGTTTCGGGTTTGCTCATACAAATTGGACTGCTCTGTCTCCTCATTTTGGTGTTTAGTTGGGGCACATTGGGTGCGGCTGTTGCATTTAACATTGCAAGATGGGAGATTGCAATTACTGAGCTTGTGTATATAATGCGTTGGTGCAAGGACGGCTGGACCGTCATGGTTGGCTTTCAAGGAGATGTGGGCTTTTGTAAGACTTTCTCTTGCCTCTGCTCTCATGCTCTGCCTTGAGATTTGGTACGTGATGAGCATACTCATTCTCACAGGCCATCTTGATAATGCAGTTCTGTTGGTTCCCTTTCTATTTGCGTGAACATTAACGGGTGGGAACAAATGTTGTTCATTGGAATATATGTGGCAATAAGCGTGCGCATCTCCAATGAGCTTGGATCAGGACGGCCAAGAGCAGCCAAATACTGTGTCTATGTGACAATGTTTCAGTCTCTCCTAATTGGGATTTTTTTTTTCCAGTGATTGTTATCTTGATAACCAAAAACAGTTTCTCCCTAATTTTTACAAGTGACAAGCATCTGCAACATGCCGTCGCTAAGCTAGCCTATCTTCTTGGTATAACTATGTTGCTCAACAGCGTCCAGCCAGTAATATCAGGGGTTGCAATTGGAGGTGGATAGCAGGCAATGGTAGCTTATATAAACTTGGGTTGCTACTACATTTTTGGACATCCTCTTGGATATCTTCTTGGTTATACTGCTAAACTGGGTGTTACGGGACTTTGGGGTGGCATGATATGTGGAACTGCTCTCCCAACTTTGCTTCTGTTGTTTGTGCTCTACAAAACCAACTGGAACAATGAGATGGAGCAAGTGACAAAACGCATGAGGAAGTGGGGTGGTCAAGACATCACAGCTGAGAATGGAGCTCAAACTACATGAAATATTATTGCACCCAGTGACTTGATTTGATCTTCAGCAGACTTGAAGTTCTGAGCCTGCAAGTGTTGAATTGGTTTCTATTCCTTTGCCTGTTTTCAACTGTTTGGTGTTTTCTTTCGGCTTGACATTTGCAATGAGATGATTGAATTTCTTGATTAGTTACAGTGGCATGGAGGGATGTGAATCCAAAACTTGGTAAGCACGTAAATTTAACAAGCTATAGAATGCTAATTCATATTCATCCAAGCAATAGCAACTGCAAGCTTAAGGCCCAATAAAGAATCTGCATAGATTCTGTTTTTTTTTCAATCTACAAATTTTAGTCTGCAGTAACACATGACGCTTGATGCCTGTGAATTTTTGAATGTCCATGTAAAGAGAGAAAACAGAGAGATACAGAAACCAGTCCTATAGATCAGTTGATCTTGGGACTCAGGTAAAACTTTGGATCCCTGAAAAACCTTGAAACTACTTCTGCCTTGTCAGCAGAGAGGTCTGTGTTTTCCAGAATTTGCTCCTTCGATGCCTTGGAAATTGCTTCAATTGAACCAATCGCTTGGTTAAGCTGAACAAAATTGCCACAATATAAGAAACAGACAATGTCGCTTGACAACCTAATATAACACTGTACAACTCAAATGCTGGAAGCTTCACTTCAATTAGTCTTATGTTTTTCTTTTTCCTCAATGATCTATTCTTTAGTTAATGATTGTTACAGAGTATAGAAATGCTTTCAAAAATTTCATGTTGAAATTAAGAAGCCAGTGGGAATTAGCAAGAATCAGAATTCAGGGATTTAAACTGGACTTTCTAACCAAAAGCCAGAAATAAAATTATTTGGAACAACATTATTTCAGTTCAGACGTGTTCAGAAACCAAAACAATTATACTTCTTGCACAACTCCAACAATCACAAACAATTAGCAAACTTTGGGATGCTAATTAAAAGTAGATCTACCATTTTTAACATTTCGGTTTTCCCAAAGCAACAACATATACCAAAAATGAAAAAAGGAGTCTATTAACTTCTTCCTACTTCCGAGAAGTATAATTTCCTTGTATGTAGCAAGGATTTTTTAGCGAATGGATCATTGGATTTTATTAAGAGCGGAGAAAGCAACAAGATGAGTTAAGTACCGCATTCGCATCATGATTGTCGATACCCGGAATGGATGTGACCACTCTTTGAAACACGTTCACTGCTTGCACAATTTGCTTCCTCTTTTCAAACACCACCACCAAGAGAAGAAGTAAAAAGAAATGTGCATGTTAGAACAATATGGTTAACATTCGTATTGACATTAAACAACAAAGCAGCTTATTGTACCAACCTCAGCCTTCAATTTTGCGGTAGCATCCTCTCGCTTGCATACTGTAATTAACGGTTACTTAGGCAAATTATTACTCGGGAATTTTTTATTATCAAAGTTTCAGAGAACAATACTTACCCCCCACGAGAGTGAGCTATCTTTACCATCTTTTCAAACCCCATTTCCAAGTCCTTAACCAGAACGAATGTGGGTTTACCAAGCTCCATTTCGAATCTTCACAGATTCAAACAGATGCAATTACTTTTTAATCAATCAGTTACTGTACAAACAATCCAAATAAGTAAATATTAAAGGAATCGCATTTATGATTCGTATAGGTAAATCACATCTCTAAATATAGGACAAGTTTCTTATAACTCACTTGAAGTAAGAACGAACAAACAAATCATTTTTCTCCTTGGTTGGGAGGGTGATGACAACGTATAGATTTGCAAATTGCAGCTTCAGCTTTTGAACTCTGTATAACTGAACAAATCGCATCAAACATAAAAAGACAGAGACAGACACACACAAGAGGCATTAGGAAATAACAACAACTTGGTCACCTGCCGAAGATTTGTGAGATGCAAGTGGGATCCAAGCTTGTCACAAAGATGAATGCCACAGATGAACCCCCACAGTTGAAAATGAAGTCCTGCAATACAAATGGAATCATCACAGAGTTGAGTCAAGTGAGTCAAAAGTGATGCACCAATTTTGTTTTCTTTTTCTTTTCGACTTGAGAATGTGATGAAGGAAATTACAGGGGCAATTGGGACAAAGTTAAGACGGAAAGCGTTTGCAGTGAGGAAGGTGGAAATGAAGTTGATGAAAGATGGGTGTTGTTCATCTCTCCATGTGTTGCTCATCATACAAACCCCACCACCACCACCTGCAATTACAGAACATCATTTAACGAACGAATTTTAAGAAATTCAAATCGAAATTTCAGTTCCTTCTTCTACTTCTTATTTGTTTCCTTTTCACTCAAACCAAACACAAGGTAATGCTCTATTTGGAAAAAAGAAAAAAGAAAGGCTTCGACTAGGAGATCACTGTGGCAGAGAAAGTGAGATTTAGGTGGAAATTTCAATTCCAATTTTTAAAATTTTGAAAACCAAACAGAGCATAAGTGAAAACGAACGGAGAAAAAATGAGGGTATTCTGATACATCAAACAGAGAACTTCCTCTACAAAATTTCTGTAAAAACTGAACGAAATTCAACTTAACCAGATCAAAATTTCAATTCCTTCGCCTTTTCTTCTTCTTCTTATCTTTTTCCTTACGGATCAAACAAAATTTAATGCTGCGTTTGGAGAAATGTCTTGGGTTAAAAGAATTTTATTGCAGAGGAAGTGAGATTTATGGTGTACATTCCAGTTTCTGCATCCAAATTTTCCAAGTAACCAAACAGAGTATAGGTGAAATCTATCGGAGCAAAAATGAAATTACCACAAACAGAAAAGAAAATTTAAGAAAAAATATGAATGAGCAAGTGGAAATTGAAAGCAAAAAGGTACCTGAGTTTATGGCCCTCGATGGAATTTGAGACGTTGCTTTCGTATTCGCCATTTCCAAAGCTCTGAGTCTCAGATATTCGGAGAGTTGGGGCGAAGCGGGAAAAGTGAGGTGCCTTTAAAATATGAATCCCCGCGGTCTCTTTTATTTACGAAATTACACAATCAAGGGGCCCCAATTTCCAATGCAATTTTAAAACGAGGCCCACTTCATTTTTAGCCCAAAGCTTTCTTACTTCACAAATCCAATATCTGCTTTCAGAGAAAGAGGGAAAATGGAGTCTTCAACTTCCTCAATCTCCATGACAGCCTCCTCAAACCCACCTTCCAAACGCCTTTTGTTTGATCGCCGTTATGGTTGGGTGTAAGTCTCTCTCTCTCTCTCTCTCTCTCTCTCTCTATATATATATATATATATATAGATATAGATATAGATATATATATATATATATATATATATATATAGAGACGTAATTAAGCTTAAAATAATTGATATTCATGATTCAGAATTGATGAATGGAAAGACCCATCGGAGGAAGCTCTGGCAGGTGGCCGAGGAATGTAAGTTCTTTGTCTTTCTTTACCTTAGAGAACCCACTGATTGGTTACTGAGAAAAAAGGGTAGAAAAGAAATGTGGAAATGGGATATTATTGAACTTTTTAAGTATACTACTTAATTTTAAGCCTAATTGTTGTCCTATTGGCTTTGATTAAGGTTTTGCGTCCTGCCTCTTGCAAAATCTTTGATAAAGATGGCTTCGCAGTCGGTATGATGAATTTTCAGCTCATTCTTACATTTACATTTGAGATTAATGTTATTCTATATTTCACTAAAAAAACTGAATTCACTATTAGTTCTTTGATATGTGTTTTGCTCTTTCTTTATGTACATTAACATTTTGATAACTTATTTGACATCAGACATTTTAGTTTTATTAGGGTGTGCTAATTGGACTTTGAGAGGAACAGATAAACAGAATTTGGTCTCTCTGGACTTCATAAGTTTAGACTTAGTTGATGGTATAATCAACGATACTTTAAACTTCTGCCGAAAGAAAGATGCTTTAAACTTATCAAAAATGACCGAAAAAGGGATCAAAATGCTTTAAGTTCAGTCTGTCAGCTTTTGTTTTCACAACATGTTGGTGAAGCCATTGAGCTAGACTTGCCCCTGGTTGTTGTTGTTGTGATTTGTACCACTGGAACTTAGCTTGCCACTTTCCCACACATGCCATGAAGAAGTTATAGTGTTGTACTGTGCTGATAGTTTCATTGCAGAAAAATATGTAAGCTATGTTTGTTTGCAACCACCACGTTGATAATTTTAGAACAATTCATCCATCAGTGTACACTGAAACGTTTTAAACCCCTCACTGTAAGAAATGTTTTACAATGATTGAAAGAAATACTCACTTTGTAGCTAGAAATCAAGGGCAACCCAGAGTCTCTTCTCTCTGCGAGCATATCTGCTGTGGACTTAGCTGATCCTTGGATGCTGGAAATTTGTGAGCCAAGGAGGGCAAAAGAGCCTTTAATTTAGTGTCTTCCATCATCATGCATTAGCTGATTCACCCTATAATTTGTGTTGGGGAAATCATTATGGCTTTGTGAGATAGAATACAAAAGAGAATTAGTTTGGTTGGAGGCTTAGCTGTGATAGATAGACATGAATTATAACAAATATGTGATATTCAAATTTTATTTTTTGACCCTCATTACACCTACCCCTCCTGGATTTATCAGACAGTGGTTATCAACACATAAATCCTAAACCAGATGTGATCTAAATTTTAAACTGAGTAACACACTTTACTTGCATATGCCTCCTTTCCCATGTTTTATTCATATACAGTTATCCAGTTGGAGTAGGAAACAGTAGGATGTAGATACACAACATGTTACCGATATGCATGTATGTATGTGCTATATGTATATGTCGCAAACTTTTTCATCTTCATAGTAAAAAATTTATTTAGTTGGATACCTGAAAGACTTAACTCTTTCAGCAAAGTATTATACAAATTCAACTGTAATGTATTGTATGAACTATCTCTGGCTGCGCTGCATTGGCAATAAAATTGTAGAGAATTTTGAATGTTTGATTATAATGTGTAACAAACATGGCAAACATACCACTTCATTTCTACTTATGTTTTTCCCTTGTTTCCCTACAGATTAATCTTGCAGCGAACTCAGCAGTGAAAGTTCTTGAAAGGCCAGACCTGCTTTCTCCTCAGCTATTGCAAGCTGGTCTAAATGATCGGCTTTACAAAATTAAGTCTTCTTTGCCAAAACCGGAATTCAACTATTTCTTACTCAAAGGAAATCTCTCATCAAAAGCTGCTAGTTCCTCCTCACGTAAACAAACAGAAAGCAATAAATCGTAGATGATTTTAAATGATTTGATTTCTTAAATTCCTCGTAGGAGTACCCATCCGGTATTGTTTTAGGTCAAAATTAGGTATGGTTTTGGGGTTTGTAACAATCAGCATTGTATGGTATCTTGCAGTAATTGTATGGTAAAACATTTTGCTTTATAATCCTACAACTTTTCACGTACTTTATGAAGCATTTAGGGGTCGTTTGGCACAGCGGACTGTCATGGACTGGACTAAATCTTGGGACTGTCTCGGATTAACTCGGATTGGCCTAAGCTGGATAAAGTACTAGCCTATGTTTAGTGCTGCGTTGGACTAAGAAGCTAGAGTGTAAAAATAGTGAAGATTTATGTTTGCTTCTGTGTCGGACTAAAAAGTAATTATTTTAATATTTAAAATTAATAATTTTTAAATAATTAATGTAAGTTTTTTTTGTTATTATAATTACCAAATTGACATGTACATTTCTTTTCCTCCAAATCAAAGGCTTTTTGTTTGTTGTTAAAGTTAGGCTTAAATATCAAAATGGTCCCTGTGTTTTACCGTGTTGGCCAATTTAATCCCTATGTTTTCAATTTAGCCAATTTAGTCCTTGTGTTTAGAATAGTTATCCAATGTGGTCCAATTCATTAAATTTACATTATAAACCTCTCTTTTTTTGTCTTTTAAAAACCGAAAACCTTTTTAATTTTTTTTGAAGAATTAACTTTAAAATATTGAAACTATTCATTAAAACATAGCAAAGGACGAAAAAAGAACCTCTTCACCAATCCCTTCACAGCTCATAAGCTGTAATTTCTTCAGCTTTCTACAACCTCTCCAAAGCCAACCCAAACCCCAATCACCAGCTCCAATTTCAGATAAACAAAGACTTTCCAAACCCAATTATGCAACAGAATCCTCGTTGCATCACCCATATTTTGTATTGGCATCAACAGCTAGCTCAAAACCTTCCCCACAGCAAACCAAGATTGACAATTCATTCAAAGAAGGGAAATTGAGAATCCACAATTTTGTGTGTGATAGCATTTTGATGGTGGTGGCTGCTAGGATGGGCAAGTAGGGGGAGGTAGCTGGGATTGGATGGTGTGTTGTTTTTTTTTTTATTTTTTTTTGTTTTTGTTTTTTTTTTTTTTTTTTTTTTTTTTTTTTTTATTTATTTATTTATAAATTCAATTCAATTATTATATTAGTTTTTAAAAACTTTTTAACATCAAATTAATGGATTGGACCACATTGGCTAACGGTGCTAAATACAGGGACTAAATTGGCCAAATTAAAAACACAGGGTCTAAATTGACCAACACGATAAAACACAAGGACTATTTTGACATTTAAGCCTTAAAGTTATAACTTCCACCGAGTTTATGTATAATCGAGTCTTTATTTGTATACACACACAAAGAGTTTGATTAATTGAGTTTTTACTAGGTGATATTATGTTATTATAGCCCTAATCTCTTGGACCACAGGGGTCCAAGAGATTTGTGGTCACCCATCGTTAGATGTTAATCTAACGGTTCAAAAAAGTTTCTTAAAAGGAGTGCAAAAGTGAGTGAACCGTTGAATTTACATCTAACAGTGAGTGACCACAAATCTCTTGGACCCTTGTAGTCCAAGAGATCGGGACTGTATGTTATTATACCAAAATATGTTGGCTGAGGATAAAATAGATAACCCAGGAAATTGTGACAAAAATGTAGGTAAACATTCTTTATATCTTGCATTTTAACTTAGTCCCCCCATTTTACTAAATATGGGCTTCAAGGCTTATTTAGCATAGTCCAACTTAATGAAGCCTACCAAACATGCCCTTAGAATTTAGTATAATCCTGAAAGCTTCAAGCTTTATAAAGAAAATCTTGGTTTGTGAAGCCAAGAATTGCTTCATTAATGTCATTTCCATCATATTAATAAAACAACTAAAATTAGTAAAGATGGTTTATTTATAGTTTGGTCCAATATCTCAAACTTATTAAGCTGGCACCTTCCATCTATGACATGTGTCCAATAAGAAATTGGAATTGAAGTTATTAAAGATAAGAAGAGTAGGGTAGCAGTGTCAAGAAATTGATTGTGAACCAATTGGCATGGGGCAAGAGAAGTCAAGAAATTGGCTTTGAGGCTTGTGAGAGTGCAGACATTTGAAATCAACTTGGATGCCCTTTTCGACCAAAAAAACTTGGATGCCCTTAGACGAAGCATGCATATTTGTTAGTGATTTCCTCAACCCCAAAAATATGTAAAGATGATTTATTTCTAGTTTGCTCCAATATCCCAAACTTATTAAGGTTTGTTCTCCATTTATAATAAAAGGGCAAAAGGGACCTTTAATTTAAGTGTCTCCCATCATCATGCATTAGAATACAAAAGAGTTCGATTTGGTTGGAGGCTCAGCTGTGACAGACCTGAATTACAGCAAATATATGATATTCAAAATTTATTTGTTAACCCTACCTCTCGTGGATTTATTTATTAGACAGTGGTCATCAACACATAAATTTTAAACCAGCTGAGATCTAAATTTAAAATAAGTCACTATACTTGCACATGCCTCCTTCCCCATATTTTATACAGTAATCCAAATGGAGTAGGAAAAAGTGGGATGTAGATACATGATCTAGAACAGATGGCGGAAGCAATTGAAGAGGAGTTGCAGCGACGCACGCGTAAGGGTAAATCGAGCAAACAACATATTTGGACTCCGAGCTCATAATCGGGCCTATGACCCGTCGATTCGAGATCGTTTAGTAGCCCGAAATTCAGTTTTAAAGTTTTTATAATTTTTGGATACTTTGTGTTTTTTTCAATTTTAATTCCTTGTTTATTCCTAGAGTCTCTAGGAGTATTTAAACAGTTTTTACCTGTGGCTAGAGTTATGTTTTGTTATTTTAATTTATCAAATAAACCTTGAGGTTTCCCCATACTTTCCTTATGGATTCTAGAGTTACATATTCTAGGCTAAGGTTTTAGTCAATTTATTGTCATGCTGCGTCAATACGAAACATGTTAAGTATATGTATGCATGTGTTGTATGATATGTATCCAACTTTTTCATATTCATAGTAAAAATTCTATTTAGCTACATACCTTGAAGACTAACTCTTTCAGTAAAGTATTATGCAAATTCACCTGTCACTGGCTGTGCTGCATTGGCCATAAAATTGTGGAGAACTTTGAATGTTTTATTATAATGTGTAACAAACATGGCAAACATACCATTTCATTCTCCTTATGTCTTCCCAGCAGTGAAAGTTCTTGAAAGGCCAAACCTGTTTTTTCCCTCAGCTATTGCAAGCAGCTTTACAAAATTGAAGTCTTCTTTGCCATAGCCGGAATTCAACTATTTCTTACTCAAAGGAAATCTCTCATCTATCATAGATGATTTAAAATGATAATAAAAGAAAAACAGTTGCTTTTCATAATGATTGGTAGCTGCTGGTGTGCCAACCAGGCATATTTGACGCAAAAATGCAACCAGAGGTAAACAAAAGAATACATGTCACTTCCTCTACCACTCTTTTACCACCTAATCAATCTGAGCCGCACAATTATCCTCGTCTTACAAATTTCCAATTGCCAATTTGGACCTGATTAAAATTACAAAGACTATAGATTTCCAGTCCCTTCCAAAATTTAAAAACCACTCACTCATCATTCTTTGTAGATTTCTCTTTTTCCATTTCCCTCATATTCACTTCCGTTATCTTCTTTTCATCCATACATGGCAGTGGTGTGCCTCCCGCTCTTATCCTACCGACAACCTACTACTTAAAATGCGCACCCTCCTCACTCTGAGGCCACCACCACCGCCATCTGTGCTCCTTCCATGCCTCTCTTCCTTATCCCCACCTCCTTCTTTCCTCTTCAGCTTCAGACCCAACAAGCGTTTTCACTTCCTCAGCCCATGTTCTTCTCTCAAACAGTCCAAGAAGAAGTCTCTCCAGAAGACCACCAGGCCTCCCAATGCTCCTCCTCCTCAGAGCCAGCGCTGGTTCTTCAATAACCCAAAGGGTGACGAAGGTGGTGAAATTGAAAAGACTGATGAGGCTGACAGTGCCTTCGGCGGTGACACTGCGCTTAAAGGTACTGTTTTGGCCGGTGTTTTCTTGGTTGGTATTGTTGGTGGGTTTGCCGGTGTTGGGTATTTGTACAAGGACCAGATCAACGCCTTCTTGAATCAGTTTTCCACTTTCATTGAAGGTAAATTTGCGAAATTTTTATACCCTTTTGCAGTTTTTTTTAATCTCAATTCTGCTTGGAATTTGTTAATTGGTGTTTAAGATTCATTTATTTATCTTATAATAAATGGGTGTTAGGATTGGGGTCTAGTAGGTAAGATTGCAATTTATGCAAATTCGATATCAGCTTTTTCAGGTCTTCGTGGGATTTACTTTTGATTACATGTATAGTCATGTGGAACTTTTGCTTATCTCATTGTATTTTAGGAAAATTTGACAACTTCGAGGCAGACTGCATGTTTTGACCCAGTACCTCAACTCTTTTTTTGGTACTGAACTCTAGCCTTTTGAAGGATTTTGGATGGTGGGGTAATGCTGATTTAGAAAACTTATCTGTAAAAAAGAATCTGGGGGTGTGAACTATGAAAGTAATAGAAGAGTTCTTAGCCTATTGTTCACGTTTTCCCCAACTCAAGCCACGGCTTGGCACCAGAATCTATCCAGGGACCAAACAGACAGTATAATCGTTACATTGCAACATAGCATTCCCATATCCTTTATATTTTCATGCCCAATGTATGAAATTATATTCAACCAAAAACACCAAACAGAACAAAAGCTGTACCAACCTACAAAAAACACAGATACAAATGAAATAAAAAATTGCACAGGAAGTTGCCGCTTAAGCGTTAAAACATGCTCTGTTGTATTTTTCTTTGAAATTGAATCTTCATGTGAGTTGTTGATTCTGATTATCCTCTGACTTGAAAATTTTGGTGAATCATCTAGCGCTTCTCCATAGCCAGATATAGTATACATAAGCAGATCAAGCTATCAAACTACAGTAGAGATTTTTCTCCCCTTCAAGTTAGCGGTAGCCTGCCAAATTCATTAGCCCCATCCCCTGCTCTTCTATTAAGAAAACTCTGTTGCAGAAGTTGATGCCATATTGTGTTTGAGTAGCTGCAGTTGCAAAAAAATAAGGGTACTCTGTTGAAGTACCTTTTGCCAATTTAAAATCACATGTAACTGTGTAGGTTGCAAGTTTATCCATATATATCTAAAATGCTTTGTTTTCCTAGGTTCTCTCCTCTTGTTAAGAACGCATGCCTTAGCTTAATTTTATGGAGCTCTAGTAATAGAATTTTCCCCTTAATGCTGTATTTTGAACATAAGATGCACCCTTTGGGGCCCTACCACAATCAACCCTTACCATGTGGTCGGAAAATAGGAACACATCTTCTTCCTATTTTACCTCTGGAATGACAGTTCTTGTACCTTGCTTGAATTATCTTTTGATAAAATCAGAAGACATATCATATGTAGGGTTTCCGTTTCTGTTTTATTTTTATTTTTTTAATAATGCTATAATTGACTTAATCTCATAGAGCTTTTGGTGAACAGGTTATGGTCCAGCTGGATATGCTTTGTTTGTAGCAGTTTATGCAGGACTGGAAGTATGCATTTGACACCCATTCTTTGAATATGTTGCTATCTCTATATGGATTTCCAGCCTAATCTTCTTTTCCCACTTGAATGCTCACCCTTATGCTAGTTATTTAATTCACCTATACAAGTTAAACATAACTAGGCAACAAATAATTGTGTTGTCCCTTTCGGTCTTTTACATTCATTTTACAAATTATATTTCATTGGCTAAATAATCTGGTTGTTCATGGGCTGTATGCTCTGGACTTGATTTCCTCATATCTCTTTCATAACAGCATTCAACAGTTGTTGAAATTCTAGCATCTGTTTTTTTATTTAAAATGATACAGAGAGCCAAAACATTCTTTTGTCAGCTACTGACTTAGTGAAATTTATGTTTTCCTAGATCCTTGCGATTCCAGCTGTTCCATTGACCATGTCAGCTGGTCTTCTTTTTGGCACAGTTGTTGGCTCTATTCTAGTCTCCATAAGCGGAACAGTGAGTAATTTTCTTTCCCGAGTGTACAAAGAACAAATTGTTAAATATGTACTTAGTTTGTTTTTTTCCTGACATTATTTACCCATTTCAGGTGGCTGCTAGTGTTGCTTTTCTCATTGCTAGATATTTTGCTCGTGAGCGCATTCTTAAAATGGTTGAGGGAAACAAAAAATTTCTTGCAATTGATAAGGCTATTGGAGAAAATGGATTTAGAGTGGTCACTCTCCTTCGCTTGAGCCCTTTGCTTCCTTTTTCTTTGGGGAACTATTTATATGGATTGACATCTGTAAAGTTTGTTCCATACGTGTTGGGAAGGTTTGCTGCCCTACTTCTTGTTCTCTTAGTTAAAGTTCCTACTTCACAAGTTGGTTGTTCTTATTGGCTGCTATTGAGAGTTAAGGCTATCAGATGGATTGAGCCGGATTTAGGACCTGTTCGAGCTCAGGTCAATTTGTTAGGCTCTTGGCATGATAAATGAGACAAGTATTTTAGCCCAAGCTTAACCCCGTCGTTAAGTATGTGATTAGGACCAATATATCAGCTAGTTCAAGGTCTTCATTTTTTCCATCTACTTTTTATCCCTTTTAGATTGAAGAGTCCCGACATATGACAATGCATGTTGTCAGTTTGAAGTAATAGAACTGAAAGTTAAAAGGGAAATGAATTGTTTTCTTGCTATTTTCAGTTGCAGTTTCCACTGATTCTCATGATGTAAATATTTTTGCTCCATTTCAATTATGTAAAGATTATTAAGTGTACCGTTAGGTGTCTCATATAGAAGATGTAGGGCTAAAATATCAAATAAAAGTTGATAAGTTGAGCATGATTGCACTGGCCCATCGGAAAAAGAATTATAACAAAGGACGGAGAGTATGGTGGTCATGACTCATGTCTGGTAGTTTACCTTCAGAAGTAGTTGATCTTTATATCATGAACTACTTTAAACATGTGTACGTAATATTGTAACATGTTTCACTCTGGTTCTAAGTCAATCAATACTTGACTTGCAGTTGGTTGGGGATGCTTCCTGGAACATGGGCTTACGTGAGCGCTGGTGCATTTGGGCGAGCCATAATTGTGAGTTTCTCTCTGTTTCTCCTGTTCTGTTGTGGTGGTTCTATGTGTGTGTATATATATATATATTATATTACAATTATTATTATTTTTTTCCCTTAATACTACTTTCTCTCTCTCCGTCGGTAGGGGATGGGGGTGTATGAATGAGTATGAAGCAAATGATTTATACTTAACCATACTGCAAAAACAGGATACATTCAATTTGATATTGACATTGATCAGATCAAAACAAAACAGCAGAAAAGAGAAATCATTGCTAATTAATGTCAACTATCATCTCTTTTGATGATATATTGCTATGCTTATTCTTCCATGATAAGAGTCCATTATAAAAATAGTTTCTTTAAAGCGACAATAGTACGAAATGACAACTATAGAACAAGTTATTGACTTATTACACATCATTATGTTATAAGAAAGCGAATCCAGTGGGATATTTTCTTAACGTCTTTGTACCTTGTGAGATATGTTTCCTGTCTGTAAGGTCTATGACTTGGGGTCTTTGTTTGTCAGCTTAACATGTTGCAATGAGTTAATATAAAGTAGCTCAGTGAGGAATATATAGGAGTAATGTATGTGACTTGGACCGCCAATAATAACGATCAGTGAAGGTGACCAGTGTAATACAAATGTAGACAACTCTAGTCCTACACATGCGGAGACAGATTTTATGTTAGGACGTGGCTGGTTAATTTTTACTGGGCAACTGCATTTAAATCGAACTCTCATTCTGTATGTAGTACTTTTGTATAAAGAGTGATTGAGTGAAAATCTTAGGAGGTTCTTACTTTATATGATAGAGTAAATGGTTCCCAGATCTAAGTCAGGTATCAACCTCTATATTATGTGGTTGATATAGTTATAAGTCTGGGAAAATGAAAGTTGTCAAATAACATCCAGATGCATTGGTGCTTTTCATGCTGGCATCTGCAACACTGGGCTCTACACATGTATTACTATTAATGCATATGCTTTTCATACAGTTACCATTGGGCATCGTATCATGTTAGTTACACTTGTTTGCAATCTTTGTGATGCCGGAACTTATAAATTGAATATTCAGAGAATTTTAGCAACTGTCAAATTGATTTAGAGTAGAGATAATTTATGTATTTTAATCTGTCTTTTGGGGGTTCATTTGACAGCTTTGGGTGAAGTCAGGATTAATTCTTAGGGGTCTTGTAAGAAAAGACACTTTACAAGCCAGAGCAGCTAATAATCTTGAAGCCGATAGGAATTTCTTACAGTTATTAACTTCATTGTGTTAAGTCCTCAGATTAGTTGTAGACTGGTGCTTCTCTTTTATCATAAATTTATGACTCACTGAGGATCAAAATTTGGTCTGGTGAGATGCTAGCTCGATTTATTTGTGAGACACATTGGATTATACGCTTGAGAATTTGTGATTCCTTTTACTAAGGTTCTTTAATTAAGGAAATTAATCGGTTTTCCATCGGGTTACTGGAGTTTCATTTCGATTCATTTGTTAATATTTTCCTGGGTGATGTTTCAGCAAGAAGAATCTGATCTTGGTTTGCCTGGAGGAAATGGTCAGCTACTGACACTAGGGTTTGGACTGTTAGCCACAGCATTGGCTGCTGCTTATGTTACACGATTAGCAAAGGTACTCCCCAAATTGACAAGCATTTTCATTTGTACCATTTTTTTTGGTCTGATGAGAAACTTGGCATTGCCAAAAGCTTCTCATTGTTTGGTTTGAGAAGGCAAATATTTTTACCCATATTGAATAGATTTTCTTTGTGCTTCTGGTGCAGGATGCTGTAAAAGATATCGATTAACCTAATCGGATTAGGTGACGAGTCTCAGTCTGCCCATGAATTCTACACAAGATATTTCAAACTTTAAAAAAGAACCAAAAAAAGAAAAAAAGAGAGAAGAAAAAAAAATCACTGCCCTGTAATTATTTAACTTTTGGCAAATTGAATAGGAAATGTTGTGATTTTTATTCTTATTATTAATCTTAAATTGTATAATTAAATCTATCATAATAATATGCTACAGTCACTGTTCCAGCCTTGACTTTTGTTGGTAGAGGAATCACCATCTCCACGTGTCTTATGCTGAGCATTGACAAGTGCCTCCTCCGTCGCCCAAATTACACTTTAAATAACTTGCAATATTTATTATTATTTTTTCTATTATTTTTTCTATTTTGGTGCTAAGAGCATCTACAATGGGCTTCTTAAATCACTTTCTTTATACAAATTTTAGAGAAGGATGATAAAAATGTAACTCCAACTACATTCCTTATCCACTTCCTAAAATAGGGAGTTCTCTAGGAGCTCCTAAATCTGAGGAAAGAGAACGAACTCCTAGTAGCTTTCTATAATTTAATGCTGTTTTATTTAATAAGTATTTCAAATTTTTATTTAATGTTAACTATTTTTTATTTTATTTTTTAATAGAGATGGACCAATCAAAAAAGAGTTATAATATTTATGACTCTCCAAATTAAGAAGTATGGTTGAAATTGAAATTTTTTAAATAGCTCTTAAAATAACTTTTTTATATTCTTAGTCAAATTTTAACTAAAAAGAGCATCATTGTGATCTAAGACTTTCATTCAGCCAGCTGGTCAAACGAAATATCCATACTCTTTCCACGACCTCACCTTTGCATGCAAATCACATCCTTTCTTGCGCCATCTGTCATGGCTTAGCGAAAAACAATTGCTATAAAATCAGTCTGCTAGTGTTCCCTTGTCACCGATTACCACCAAACCAAAGGAAACCATTCTCCATCAAAACTTCAAAAATGGCGACAACTCACGCACGAGTCCCCGGCGAGCCAACCCCGACGGGCATGGCCCTCGAGACCGCAACGGCCACAGCCCAAAGCTTCAGCCCCATCAACAGCATCCACCAGCACCTCTGCGCCTTCCACTTGTACTCTCACGACATGACCCCGTCAACTGGAAGCCCACCATTTCTGCGCCCACCACAAAGAAGACATGCGCCAGTGCCTCATCTACGACAGCCCCAAGGCTGATGCAAAACTCATCGGCCTCGAGTACATCATCTCAGAGGTCCTCTTCCTCACCCTCCCCGACAACGAGAAGCTGCTCTGGCACTCGCATGAGTACGAGGTGAAGAGCGGCGTTCTCTTTATGCCGGGGCTACCAGGCCCCATCCAGAGGCAGGACCTGGCCAAGGTGTGCAAGACGTATGGGAAGACGATTCATTTTTGGCAAGTGGATAAGGGGGATGAGTTGCCGCTTGGGATTCCGCAGGTTATGTTGGCGTTGACCAGGGACGGTCAGCTGCGGCCTGAGCTTGCGATAGATGTTCAGATGAGGTACAGGGTGAGCTTCGATGAGGAGAGAGAGAAGCGAGCGTACATGGCGGGGCCGAAGCTTGGGGTGCATCCTTTGGCTAACGGAGGAGGGAAAGGGTTGAAGACTGAGCTCAAGGAGACCGACTGCATGCCTGTAGA